AAATACAATTTCAAACGCCATTCCCATTCATCAGGAGTCGAGTGCAGGGAAGTAGTGAATAAAAAGCGAGAAAATAAAATACTTTTTATTATAATGTGATCTAAAAAGAAACTCCACTTTTAGTTGGCTTTTAGGACTAAAGGCTCACACAAACAGTCGTTCCCATTGTGAATAAATAGATAGAGAGAGAGAGAGAGAGAGAGAGAGAGAGAGAGAGCCGATGAAAAAGTATTACAATTTTATATGTTATTAAAAAAGTGTAAATTTTTTCAACGCTACAAATCAAAAATCGATAAAAATATATCATTCAATGGTATAATAATAATAAAAATGGGAAGAAATTCCGTTAAATTGCTTATTGAGAGAAAAATAACACATAAAACACCAGTAGTTATTATGTCGGTGCTATGGTATGTGTCGTCCCTCCGGGGGCTATGAATTGTGGCGTAAAAATAGGTTTTCTCACTGAAAAACTTACTATTTTTATTAGACATATAGTCCTCAGTCAGAGAAGTGCCTCAATATTAGCTAATGAACGGCAAAATGAATGTCAAAATATATTACTAATAATCTTATCATTTGAATCGTAACTAACATTGAAGGAGAGAGTGTCGGGCTTAAAGAAAAACACAATTTTTATTTTTATTATTATATAAAATGACAAATAAATCGTTAGGCATTTCCATCAATAATCTAATAATTGTTTTTTGTTTGTTTGTGTCTCACAAATACAGAAAATACAAGTTCTGTGTTGTTTTGTTTGACAAATAATTGAAAAGGCAATTGCAGACAAAAACTGGTAATTTATATAATATTTTTAGAAAAAAGTTTCGCGTACACTTTTTAGCGTTAAAAATACTATCAAAAATGAATAATAAAAAATCATTTCTCAAGTCATTTTGTTACAATAAAATGAATATATAAAAAACATTTTTCATAAGCCTTTTGATGTGTTGCAAAAAGTGAGAGATAGAGAGTCAAGTGAGAGAATATTACATATAATATAATCAAGAAATTACATTATATTATAGTTTTCTTGTTTCCGCATTTCAATTGCATAATAATAATTCAAAACTAATAATACATTTTCGCGGCCGAGACGTATAGTTTATTTTCATGTCTTTGTAGTTATTATCCGTCAATTAAAAAAAGATTATCATTTTTTCCAGGCATAAGGCAATCGCTACACAAAATGTACAGTTAATACACATATAATTCAATACACAATTCTCTCCCTATCTAAAACACACTGTATATTAAATATATCATCAAAACAACCTAAAAATTGTTGTGTATTTATATTTATATATATATAATATATATATTTTAGTGTATATAATGTATAATAGCATATGTGTTGTGGTTAGAGTGGGATTTTAATTAAAAATTATATAATAATAATATAATAATAATAATAATCGTAACTATAATTATTAATAATAATACAGTAATAATGATAATAATAATTATAATAAAAATTTTATGTAAAATATAATTAAAAGACAAATTAAAACGAAAGGAAATTATTTAAAAAACGTCGGGAGAGTCGAGAGAAATATGTTTTTGTTATGTTTTGCAAACTTTTTTATATTTTCATAATTAATAATAATTATATATTTTTTGACAAAAATCTATTCAATAGTTGTTTTTTAGTCCTCTCTCTCACAGGTAAGGGAGACGTCCATCGGAGTAGTAGTTGTAATGTATTTATAGTGGGTATAGAAGTGTTGGGGCGTCGAGAGGAGGGGGTGTTTATTGTGTGGATATTTGTCGCAGTGTTTTAGAAGATCCCGGAACATTTTCCACCTTTATTTGGGAATAATACACAATATAATTAGTGTTTTAATGGAAACAAATCAAATAAATATGAATTTATGACATGAAAGGCAAGTCAGACGCGAAGGTTAAGTCGTCGTGTAATTGATGGCCAAAAAAAGAGAAAATAAAAATAATACATGTCTTGCATTCTCTTTCTTAAAGGAATTCCTACTCTACTATACGGAGTCTCTGTAGTCTCCATGCCTTTCCTTTTCTGTAACTCTTGGCGGTATAACTAATGGTCAGATAATGCAAGAAGTAATTTATCATAGGATGAGAGGACTTGAGAGGACTTTCTTAACACAATATTTCATTTATACATTTAATGATGAGATGAATCGCTAGGCTTTTAAAAGCAGAGTTTAAGTGTTTTGGCTTTTATTTTATTCTTATTTCTCAGCGAAAAAATACTTTTCCTTTTATTTTGCTTTTATTTATGTTTTTTTCCTCTCATTTGTTTTCAGTTATATGTCTCGAGTGTTACGATATTAATTACTCAACACCTGTGTTTTGTATGTATATTACACTCTTATTGATCTTAATTAACTTAAATTATTAATCAAAAACGAGATTTGAAACCACGGCACCTCCCTGTCCATACCTCATCCGTTACCTCGTAATAGACTTTGTAATAGGTTTATGATAAGTGTTAATTAAATACCTGGTGGTTGACGGACACGAACGGGAGTAGTTGGTAGTGATGCCGATCCATCTATGAAGTGATTGAAATGATCAATATATTTAGAAAACACATTTTTGACAAAACTATAAATCATTGGTTCAAAGTTAGAGAGAAATTATCAAAAAGAAGAAAAATTACTGAAAATAAATCAATTGTTGATTAGTTGTGATGTGTTTCACTAATATCTATCACTAGTGAGTCTCACTTATGTCTCGATCCCCTCATTAGTTGTCGAATGCCTCTCTCTCTCTCTCTCTCTCTCTCTCTCTCGTTAATGGTTTTTGGTTTGAAATCAAATTATAAGTAAAGTAAAAGTGTTTTTCCAGAGTTAGTAAAAATCGAGTCAATTAGTGAGTGGAGTGGAAATGATTCGTACGATTCCTGCAATTGTTAACTACATATCTATAGTGTATGACTAGAAATGCGTGATTCCTTTCCACTCCTGTAGCTCTCTCTCTCTCTCTCTCTCTCTTCGCATTTTTCGCAAAAATGATGGCTTCAGTAATCCAGTAATTATTGTCACATTCAAACGCATTCACTCATTCAGCTCATCATAACAACAATACCCAGTGCTGTAAGGTTTAGGGGTTTAGGACACACTTATGTGACGGCAAAACACATACGATTTGGAGAAGTCTTTGAGTCCTTTCAGAGACCAAACACTTTCACATCGTATTCAACGCTAACGAACAGTCAATACTGAGACACAAGTAGTGGTCGGGAAATATGATGAGAACAGCTATTCTGTGATTGTGTATTAACAGGACTGGTAGCACTAGTAGCTCATCATATTTATAATAGGAGTTAGAGAAGGGCTTGTATTCAACAGAGCGAAACACAAGTGAAACTTAATGCCAAACTATTCATAACTCTATACTCGACTCCAATTTATGATTACGTTTATTATATATACGAAGAGGTCTTTGGAGTTGAGTTTAAAAATATTTCCTCCAAAATATGAAACACATTAACAGTGAGAGAGAAGCCTCTAATAAAAAATGCATTAAAACTTTAAACGAGAGAACATTTTCTGCTAATGATTAGAGGGTTTAGAGGTTTTATGAATACTGAATACAATTTGTAATAACAATCATAAAAATGATAATAAAAACAGCTTTTGATTTGCGAGTCGAATAAAATCCTTCACAACAAACATATGGTTTGTATTAAAACAAAAGTTTTAAACTTTTGAAAGAAAGTTCATGTGATTTGCATTTAATAGACTGTGTGTAGGATAGGGAGGAAAGGGATAGGCTCTTACTGTTCATCCCATTCACTCTGCCGTTGACGCCATTGTGACCATTGGTTTTTGGCTCATCATATACTTCGCCAGTAATTGGATTGCGGCGGACGACTGCACCGGTAGGTAGAGGAAAGACAGACAACAAATGAGTCAAACATATAATGCATAATAAGTCGACAAAAGAGAAGTGAATATTAGTCGCCAGTGGAGGACTGGTATGGTAGAGGACAGGCATATTGTGCGCGATTAGAATCAATAGAAGTGATGGAGAAGTGAGTTATAGGGGACGGGGAGTATAGGGGACGGGGAGTGAGAGAAAGACCAGAACCACAGATGAGATGCAATCTCTAAAAGCCAAGTGCTCTTCAAGTCATTTGTTTGGTTCATATAAACAAATGGTTTGCACTTATAATGGGTATGAATGGTATGACCCCAACATTACGGGGAGGACTGGGCTCTCGAATGCATGTATTATA